TATTCATTTCAATGGCTTGATTCAAAATATGCAAAAAAAAAAAGAGGTTTCAACAAGATTTGCTGTTCACTGAACATGAACATTTTGCAAGAAGAAGTAACCTCACATTTAGCTTTGAATGAAAGTAACAGGCAACTTGATGAAAAGGGCAAAGAAAATTTGATAAAGTATTTCACCCATGAATATGAATAAACGGATCATAGAAACCAGGATTAAAGTTGTCAAAATTCAAATGAAACAATTTTGATTATAATTGATTTATTAAGGTAATTACAATACAGATTCTCTATTTAATTTGAAGATTGCAAAATACCCCAACATAAATGGAGCTGTGTTTATAAGTACAGTAAATGCTTTGTAAGTTTCGTAGTCTTAATATGGTCAAAAAGATCAGTCGGTCTAATTGTGCAATGGTCTATTAAGAATTTGATTGGGTAACCCATTACTCCGGACCTAACCATCAGTATTGTGTACTGAACTGTATATATACTCAACAACTAGTATACGTTTTACTTCCTGTAGTGTGGTTTTTAACTTTACATTGCAACTGTATCATTTTTATGAGATATTTTAGGGACAAAGTATGCTGATAGTGAATGGAGCAATTATAAGTCCTTTTGTGAAGTAAATATGTATGACTTTAGTACTATGTATCAAAAGAAACCTTTTATTTGGAGGTTAAAGATTAAGGAACCACAACTCTGTACAAAGAAAAAGTTAAAAAAAATATGAAATACAAAATACTTTGTTATGTTAAAAGTTGTAAAGTCACTTGATTTATCAGCAGTTTGTTAATAAGAAAAAGAAGAAATCAAAGATCATTAACTGATTTCTGAACTTCATAAGAATGCCTGTAACCACATTGTAGAAAGAGTCTCTTTAAATAGACCAAGTGTAATAACCTATAAATAGATACGGTCTTACCGGATACCAATATATAAATCATGTATTTGTTCCAGGTTTTGAACTTTTGTTGAAAGTTTGTTTTAATGGATGAAATAACTGGGTTTTTTTTTCAGAAATCACTCTTTATATTATTTTTTAAGGTTGCAATAAACTTTTGGTCTATGTGCAGGAAAACATTCTGTCAATGTGTCGCAAACTATACACATGGAAAGAAACCAAGAAAAAACATGTAGTCTTAAGAGTAACAAATTGCGCCGGTCATGTGGCATGATGGTCTATAAATATATAGGGTAACCCATCATTTCGGACCTGGCTAACATTTAAAATTGCAAATATATATATATATATATCTAACATATTGTACTACTCTTTGTTTCTGTGGTATGGAGTTTGCCTTGTTTCAATTTCAAAATTTTACTTGACATTCTGTATATTACTTTGAAGAGTTGAATATTGACGAAGTCAATCATTGTTAAACTTGCATAAAAATATGAACAAATAAAGACTATTCAGCTTTCAGCAATACAGTTTAATTGAGAAAAAGGAATATCAGGAACAGTAACTCCATTGTTTTTGTTTTATTCTTAGAATGTTAGATTTTGTTATGCTATTTGATATACTGACTTTCTTTACAACCTATAGTAGTTTTCTGCTTTTGAAAAAAAGACCAAAACCAAGTTAACTAATATGTTTGTTTCCAAATCAATTAGATTCAGATTAGTTTACAATTTAATTGTCAATAACTTTAGATGAACTATACTGTGACATTTAAACGATCATATATTATGTATATACAACATGACAAAGTCGCAAAGCAAAATGAAATACAGTATTCCAGATTCATGTCTCGTATGTATGTATGTATCCTTTGTTCTCATGCAGTTCTAATAACTGAATTGCTGCAATACAAGAACACAAAATGTTTTTCTTATTACATGTACAGAAAATGAATAACATGTTTTAGATAAATTACAAAAATAGAAACAATTGCTTTGATGAAGTGAAATATGACTGAAAAACAAAACAACTATTTCTTAAGGTTCATGTGGACCCTTTGGCTAAAATGGCTGTGTTTTCACCTCAAAATTTACTCTGAGTACAGGCAAACCTGTGCATCTGGAAAAGTTTTAACATGTTTAACATGTTTAAGGCATAGCATGCTCTAGGTAAATACAATTCAAATACATTTAATGTTTTGGAAAATTAAAAAGTTAACTGGATTTTGCTGTGCACTTTTTTTCGTCCTTGCAGAAAGATGACAAAATTAACAAACAGTTGAGTTTCACTTCATATGGTCCAATCAGTGACACAGTTTACATATCCAATTATTGTCATGTATCTTTTGTCCCTCTATTGTCCAGGTCAATCAATACAGTTCACTTCAATTATTACCTGTGGGGCAGTTCTAAAACCTCTTTCCCAACTTCGTTTATTTTGGCACCTTTTTTAGGAGCGAAAAAAGGGCATTGAACATCCAGTTGAGTTTTTAATTTTCTAAAACATAAAATGCATTTAAATTTTATTTATCTAGGACATGCTTTGCCTTAAAAGTTTTCCAGACAGACATGTTTGTCTGTACTCAGAGTAAATTTTCAGGTGAAAACACAGCCATTTTAGCCAATGGACATGAACCTTAAATAATGGTTCTGTTTTGTACTGCAAATTTGATACATGTTTATGGTTCTCATATGTCCTTTGTATAATTTGATACATGTTTATGGATCTCATATGTCCTTTGTATAATTTGATACATGTTTATGGATCTCATATGTCCTTTGTATAATTTGATACATGTTTATGGATCTCAAATGTCCTTTGTATAATTTGATACATATTTATGGATCTCATATGTCCTTTGTATAATTTGATACATGTTTATGGATCTCATATGTCCTTTGTATAATTTGATACATATTTATGGATCTCATATGTCCTTTGTATAATTTGATACATGTTTATGGATCTCATATGTCCTTTGTATAATTTGATACATGTTTATGGATCTCAAATGTCCTTTGTATAATTTGATACATATTTATGGATCTCATATGTCCTTTGTATAATTTGATACATGCTTATGGATCTCATATGTCCTTTGTATAATTTGATACATGTTTATGGATCTCAGATATTGTTTGCCTAATTTTATAAAGGATAGATATATATTCCTCCATTAAAGAAATTATATCTTTTTAAAGTGTTCATAATAAAGAACCAGCTTTCTAATTCCAATGTCTACACTATACTGATAAGCAATAATAAATCTACTACACCTAGTACTTATACCTCTATTGCCTTTATTCATTTGAACTATTAAAACTGAGGGAGACTAGTCGTTATAAAATGAGATTTAGAAAGACTACCTAAAGTGTTTTCATTGATAAAAGCCTAGACTAGGGACCGTGTGATCACCCAACTATATAACATAGCTTGTACACTGTCTCTGGTAATGGACTATTTATATTACTGTTAATTTTATTAACTGGAATATTGATCTATTCATTTTTGTTTTGAAGTATCATATGGGAAATGCAGACATCATTCAGATCGTTACCTCCCTTTGGTTTAGACATAGTCCTTAGGCAAAGAATATAAATGTCAGAATTTCATAAATAATGTCGTGACTAACAAATACAGCTTGTTGAATATGTATTGTCATAAACAAAAGAAATGAACCAAATTTAAATTCCATGACCTTGAGCTAGTTTGTATCCATGCAGTGATCCTATTTTACTTAGGTTGAACTCTCACTAATATGTTAAACCAGCAACATTCTTTATGTGCCAGTCCCAAGTCTTGAGCCTTTTATTCAGTGGTTGTTGTTGGATCATATACGTCATATTTGTTTTTCACCAAAAAAAAATTAAAACTAGGCCGTTAGTTTTTCGTTGGAATTGTTTCACATTTTGTCATGTCCGGGCCTTTGATAGTTGACTATACGGCTGATTCCTATTTCTTGAAGCTGGAACTTTTATGTTATGCAGGGTGTTAGTGCATATACTAAAGGCGTGTATAATGTTATTATGTGTTTTGGTTAAATTTTCCACAAATGACAAGTACTTGAATTTTGTTATTTTTGTGGTAGTATAATATATGCTGGGTACATAGTTTGTCAACCTAACTCCTTTTACAGTTTTATAATGGAAATAAATCACAAGAATGACAGAGGCATCAAATGGGTCTAGATAATCAAGTTGTACTTCAACTTCACTGTTTGTTTTATCTAATATTTGCTGAACTATATTCATGCATGCAGCAGGGTCATTGTATCTGTCTAGTAATGATATGATATGTTATTTAATGTATCATATGACATACACATTCAAAGATCCTAAGAATGATTAAATCAGGTAAATTGACCAGGCTAGCAACGAGGATAACAGAAGGAAATTTGCAGCGTAAAATCCTGATCTGAAGATTTCGATAAGCATACAATCTGCAGTTTTATATGAGGAAGGCAATATGGATACATTGAAAATAAGTAGTAGTGTGTAACCCTAATGCTCATATTTTAGTAGGTATACCACCGTTCAGGTAGCAGTGAGTAATCCTGATATTCATATTTTACTAAGTATACCAACGAAGCGATTAGTAGTGTGTAATCTTGATTTTCATATATTTTACTAGGTATACCTCTGATCAAGGTAGCAGTGTGTAATCCTGATATTCATATTTTACTAGGTTTACCACCGATCAAGATAGCAGTGTGTAATCCTGATATTCATCTATTTCACTATGTATACCTCTGATCAAGGTAGCAGTGTGTAATCCTGATATTCATATTTACTAGGTATAGCACCGATCAAGATAGCAGTGATTAATCCTGATATTCATATTTTACTAGGTATACCACCAAGCATGGTAGCAGAGTGTAATACTGATATTCATATTTTACTAGGTATACCGCCGATTAAGGTATTTTCCCGTATGCAGTGATTTTAACTACGAGACCTCTCGTTAGAAATTCGGCCAACGCACAGCGCAAGTCCGAGGGGGGGAAACTGTGACGAAATAATGTAAACAAACGTGCACTGGAAGGTAAGTAGTAATAACTGATTATTAAAGAACCAATTTAATACGACAAATCATTTAACAACTGTTAAGGAAAAGTTTAATAGACAAAATGGAACGCATTGAAAATAATACAAAAATAATATCATGGCTCTTTTATTCACTTATTTGCCACGTGCTCCACGGGCTCTGTGTTGATTGTTTATTAATGTCACGATCCAGGCAAATAACTCGATAATACGTTATAGATTCGTTATATGTATACATTGTAAAAAAGATGTGCCTACTGGACTAAATTTAGTATATATGCATGCATTGGTTTATTTATTTCAATAACATTACAATTACAAGAAACTCATTTCATATGACTTTAAGCACAAATTGAAATCTTGCAATAAATTTTAAATTTCAATGAAATATTCAGCAGAAAAAAACACCCTTGCGACCATATCCTTTATCATCAATCTCATGAGTTCAAACATTGCAGATTTTATAATCCTTATGTTTAATTGTCATAAAATGTGCAACAGTTAATCACAGACTGCCTTCATCCTAACACACAAATGAAATATAATAACAAAGTGCTATTCTTATAGTAATCTAGTAGTAATGGTGGACAGCAACATTTCACAAATATATACGAAAAGCTAAAGATATATTTTACTTTCACGTTCTGAAAACAAATATAATAACTTTCTGTATCCCACAAGAAACAGTCAGGAAATACTTATCACCAAGTTTGACACATAATGTATGTATAAGACATAATATATTCAAAAAAATTAGTTATATTTCTTTGAAGACTTTAACATGGTTGTTTCGAGTTTGTATGGTCACTAGTTTCCTTTGTATATGATTATAATGTATCACATCACACAATGAAATGGATTGAGGTGTCTTTGCATGTTTATATTGTTTTCCATCGGTTGACACATGTCGTACTGCTTCATCATCACACACCACATATATACTGCCATCTTGAAGTGTAGTCATACTCTCAGGATGTGATGTTAATATTAGGGTGTGATGTATGTCATCAGTAACACTGTACCAGTACAGGTTGTTGCAGTTGTTGTTGTAATCACAGTATATTATTTTGTCACCAGAACAATGTAACCTGTCAGGTATACTATCAGTCATTATTGTATGCACCACCTCTCCTGTTTGATGATCTATGATCAGTAGTCTGCTGTTACCACATACAACTAACTTGTTGTTTATATTTGAGATGCCACTCCACCACCACAACCCAGGTGGTGATATTGATTTGAGTTTGAGTTTATTGTTTATGTCATATATCTCTACAATCTCACTACGCCACAGTGTTACAGCTACTGTAGAGTTGTTGACTTCTGTAACACACCATGGTTTACCCTGTACAGGTATACTGTCTACCTGTGACCCATCTGTATTACAGATCAGTAGTCTGTCCTGCCTAGGTAAACATATCACTAGTCTACCATCATCCATTATCACTATACCTGATACCAATCCTACCAAGCCATCACCAACAACTGGTGTCATATCTGCCTGATGATTTAGTGTGAAAATATGCTGTCCAAGTTGATAACGCTGCATTGGATTTTGCTGCTTAATCCCTGAAATATACAATGAAATATGGAATAATTTCAGATTCAACCGGGTGATTTTGAATTGCATAGTTTCTTTTATTCCATGCATCAAAATGGAGGTATTCCAGTGACAATAAATACTTGTATCAAGAATAATTATTAATATAATTATTTCAAATGAAATATTTCAATTGAATTTAACAAGACTTCAAATAGTAGTGTTATTTTGATATTTGTAATATTGTTTTCTTTACTTGTAAATGCAACGGTTTGATATGATCCAAAAGACAAAGGAAAAACAGTTTTAAATACCAGTTGAACATACCGTGTCTGTCAGTTTTCTCTTTGGATGATTGACATCTTAAATATTGTAATATCTCCTATAAAAGTAAGGAAAAGTTTATAAAGTATAAAATATAAAATATATAAAAAAGAATTTTATTTATTTGTTCGACACAGAACTCTATGTTGGTGAATAGCTTTTTTCTTTCTCTCTGTATTTGATTTAAAACTTGTCAAGACATTGCATTTTATATTTTTTTTATACATGCGAACACATCATTAACTGATAAAAAGCATGCACATTTTTACGAATGTCCTTTCCGGACATCATTCTTTGAGTTTCTTGATGATAATGAAAGTACCTTAAGATTATATTCATTAAGTTTGTGAACATTTGTTTTTACATTGAATTTCTAGTAAGCTTGTTTAGTACTTAAGGTTGTTGAAGATATGCATTAATTATGGAGAGTTATTTCTTTAACCTGACTAGTTCTTTATTATTTGTAACCAGGGGTGGTTTTGATGCTGTTATTGGCATGTTGCTTTTGTATTTTGTCTTTCATGAATAAATTAAACAGAAACACTCAAAGATCTGCAATGAACACAAAATCATCCAAATAACAAAGACATTAAGATATGACAATCAACCACTATTCATGGGTTTCCTGACTTTAGACAGGCAAATGAAGATAAGTTCTGATCAGTACTTGTTCCTACCTCAAGTTTTGTAACTAGCTCCACTTTTATCTGGTCATTGTTGATATCCATTGCAGTCAAAATTTCAGCAGTACTTGATTCTAATTTGTCACTAATCTAAAATTATAAGTAATTATAAATATATAAATAGTTTGGTTATTTCATTTCACGCAAAGAGCAATCAGAACAGTTGCTTACATTATGATGTCCCATGTATTGCATAAAATTGAGAATGAAAATGGGGAATGTGTCAAAGAGGCTACAACCCGACCATAGAGCAGACAACAGCCGAAGGCCACCAATGGGTCTTCAATGCAGCGAGAATGCATTGCATGCATAAAGTGTCTTATTTTCTAGTTTGGTGTGAATAAATTTGAGATTCAGGTTCAAAGTACTTTAAATTCAGAAATGTTTGCATGCATTTTTATTGCGATTGTTGATCAATGGACAACAATGCAACAGTGTTAGAAAATATTGCATACAAATAATGCTTTCAATATTTAAAATGATAATTTTTAATAACCTGGCCCAAAGGACCAAGTGAGCTTTTCTTATCACTTTGCGTCCATCGTTCGTCGTCTTTGTCGTTAAATTTTACAAAAATCTTCTCTTCTGAAACAACCTCTGGGTCAAATTAAACCAAACTCATAATCATCATTAGAGTATTTAGTTTAAAAAACAGCTTTAAATAGAAAAAATCGGGCAATGGCAGAAATATTCAGAATGATGAGATCTTCCTATTGTCTATCAACATCAAAACTGTTAGATGGACTTCTTATTCACACCGGGTATCCCGATCCATAATCCGCGAAGGGATCCGAATCCAGAGATGCAATTACGCGAAAAATACAAACGGTGGGTAAGTACTGTCTAGATCCGATTCCCACAAAGAATTATGCTCCGTGGAAATCAGAGCAAGATTTTACCTACCCACCGTTTGTATTTTTCGTGCAATGCATGCTCCTCGAGATTCGGATTCCTCCGCGGATTTCGGTGTGTAATAGGAGTTATTGCCCTTAAATGACGATTTTTTTTGTTCACTTTTGTCTATTATCTGAAAACTAAAACAGATAGATGGAAACTAAAACAAGCTAAAATGATCAGCAAAACATGATCTACAAATAAGTTTAATGGCCAAAATTGTCGTTTCACTCTTGACTGGAGTAATTGGTATTTTATGACGGTTTTTTCCCATTTTCAGTATTCTGCCTCTTTTCTTGAAAACTATAACAGATAGATATATAAACTAAAATAAGCGAAAATGATCAGCAAGACAAGTTCTACAACTTAGTCTAATGGCCATAATTGTCATTTCACTCCTTATTGGAGTTTATGGTCTTTACCCATTTTTTATTGTGTTCTGCCTCTTATCTTGAAAACTATAATAGAGAGATAGAATTAAATAGCAATTTTCAGTATTGTGTGATCTGCTTATGTCACTTCGATAGGAAAAATTTGTTATAGATCAATGATAGTTTCTATAAAGTTGCATTACTATCAGTACACATAGGTTTGAGGACTATTTTGAAGCCCTGCCCCCTAGGTCATGGTCCAGTGACTTTGAATTAATTAGTTATGTTACTGTCCATCAGATTGTCTTTTTGAATTTTCTGCCGACAGGCGAGACATATCTCTGTGTCTATGTTTATTGCCAATACTTTGCAGTTTTGCCTATTATCTTGAAAACTATAAATGGTAGACAGACACTTTAAATATCAGAAATGCAAGACAAGATCTACTTATAAGTCAATTTTGCCGAAATCGTTAGTAGACTCCTTATAGGAGTGATTTTTTTTTCACCTTTTTGTTTTGTGGGCAAAAAATATCTGGACATACTGAGCTAGTTGAAGTACAGTATTTATATCTGAATTCCGATGAGAAGCTCATAGTTGCTTCGAGGTGTATATATATAATAATTAGTGACCAAGAGAGGAATATTTGTAATCATCTGTGTCTTTGTATATAAGATAACAAAACAAACGAATCTGATGTACAGTAGTTGTCGTCTGTTTATGTAGTTCGTACGTGTTTCTCGTTTCTCGTTTTTATATAGATTAGATCGTTGGTTTTCCCGTTTGAATGGTTTTACACTAGTAATTTGTGGGGTCCTTTATAGCTTGCTGTTCGGTGTGAGCCAATGCTCCGTGTTGAAGGCCGTACCTTGACCTATAATGGTTTACTTTTATAAATTGTTACTTGGATAGAGAGTTGTCTCATTGGCACTCATACCACATCTTCCTATATCTAAATAAACAGATTTCAGTCAAGCCTACCCATTGCAAAACAGAGCAGACACCATACATACAAATACTTGGTGTTTGTGTCTGTCCAATCTTGTAAATGAACTCATTGTAATGAAAATTATATCACAGGGTTGAGATCAGTTGATGGATACAGTCTTATATAAGTCTAAAGTATTCATAACCCCGAATACAAAGTTTAGGGGGTTTATAGGAACAAACACATTTAGGGTGGAAAAGGGGGGGGGGGTATATAGGAATCACCATGTTCGTCTGTCTGTCCGTTCGTCCGTCCCACTTGGTGTCGGCTGCATAACTGTTGTTCCGTAAATCTTAGGTTAACCACACTTGGTATGCAGTTGCATCGTGTGCTAAGGGTGTTTTATATACCAAAGTAAGGTCATTCTGACTGTGACTTTGACCTTTGATCCCTATGACAATAAAACCTTGTCTAATTCCAAGCCAGTGCAAAACGTTTTTACTGGAAACTTAGGATAACGAAACTTAGTACGCAGTTGCATCATGGGATGAGGATGTGTCACATACTTAAGTCAGGTCACTCCGATCTTAACTTTGACCTTTGAGCACAATTAAAGTAAAAACCTTATCTGGTATGTGTCCGGCTCATAAGTTTTTTACCTTAAAACTTGATATGCAGTTGCATCATTGGCTTCGGGTGTGTCATATACCAAAGTCAGAACAATATAACCTTGACTTTAACCTTTGACTCCAGTGAAAGTAAAACCTTATCCAATTCGTGTCCGGCTCATATCTTTTGTACCGTCGAAAAACTTGGTATGTATTTTCATCATGGGCTTGGGGTATGTCATATACCAATGATCCCTATGATAGTTAAATCTTTTCTGATTTGTATCCTGCTTATAACTTTTGTATCATATAACTTAGGTTGACGAAACTTGATATGCTGATACATCATGGGATGGGGTGTCATATATCTAAATCAGGTCTCTTTGACCTTGAATTTGACCCAATAACTTAAAAAAAAAACATTGTCTGATTTGTTTGAGTGCATACTTTTTATACTGTAGCACTATTATTGATCATGTTCTTGACCTTGACAGTTAATTTCTGAGTTTACAGTATAAGAACCTCAGATTTTGTTCCTGGATCTGTATAATTCTTTCAGATTGACCTATGTGTCATTCTAAGACAGAAGCAATGCTTATATAAAACGAATACCTGAAAAAAGCAACTAAAATGCATGTACCGGGGGTATTAGTCACGCGTTGCTGACAGCTCTAGTTTATATTTCTTTTGTGGACAATAAATTCTAGAAAAAAATTATGATTTGAAACATTTTCTCATGACCAAATATGAACTTAATTTGGCAGCAATATTTTGACAGAAATACTTAGCCTTACATGGCCATATAAAAAATATGAAGATGTGGTATGGTTACCAATGATACAACTATCCACCAAAGACTATATGTTGTGGATATAAGCATAGGTCACTGTACAGCCTTCAACAATGATCAAAACGTATACCGTATAGTAAGCTATGAAAAGCCATAGACATGTCTCTCACAACCAAAAAAAACAAAACACTAATAACTGTAAAATATGAGGGCATACACAACAAGCATGGACACATGCATTCTACTGCATCCACATCGCTATGACAGGTTTGTATTAGAATATGTTGACTGACTGAGCTAGTACACTGGAATGTTTGATAAATTGAGTCAACATTATGGATAGAAGCAAACTAAGTTGGAGACTTAATTCATTATGATGTATGTAGAAAGTTTCATTACCATATGAGTGTTTGGAAAATATGCTGCTTACCTCTTCAAGCTTTTGGTGAATGTCCAGAAGACAAACAACATATTTGTTGCACAGTGAATCGTCCAATGGTCTGTTTTGTATCCTTATGAAGTCATCTTGTTTACTGGGGTCTCCCCACAGTGTTGTGTACTCAGCTTGGGTGATTGCACCTTTTGTGTTGTGGCTAAGGTAATTATTCTTAAACTGCCGCAGATCAGAAATCAGTGATCGCTCATTTGGTGCCAGATTGCAGCAGTTCAGTAAAATCAGACTTGCCAAGGATATATCAAGGTCATCTAGTGTGACAACTTTGGCTGAATACTTGCAGTGACAGTGATGGAAGCCTGATGTTGGTTTCTCTATATATAATAGATCCCATTGACTGTAGTTTAGAGGAAGTGGACCATGATTTACACAGTTGGTACTGTCCACACAACACTGGGTATTTTTATGGCGCAGATGAAACAAGATGTGTAAGACAGGTTTACTGTTGATAAAATCTTGTAGACATCCTAACCCTTTACTTTTGTAGTCTTTCTCTAGCCTCTGTCTGAAAACTGGTGTAACAACCTCCAGTATAGTAGAACCAACAATGAAGTTACGTCGACGGTCCTCTCTGTCCATTCTACTTTAAAATTCTACAGTCTCTGTCTTAACACTGGCATAACAATCTCCAGTATGGCAGAACCTACAATTAAGTAAAATCTAAATTTCTAGCTGGCCATCCTATATTAAAAATCAATATTTTTCCTCATGGTATGAGAGTGCAAAGGGTATATTATTGACCTACATGTCAGTTCGTCCTTCAACACTTTGTTGCCGCTATGATAAGCCTTTTAGTTCTTGTTTGGTATTCTATAAATTTGGAAGGAGTTTTTCTATTATCAAAATCGTGGATGAGTTTCATAACAAGAAAAATCTGAAATGGCTCCAGTCTTTTCCAGAGGGGGTCTTGTAAAATTGTTTAATAGTCATGCTAGCACCGTCATATTTGTTCAATCCTCTTCAAATTTCGGTGAGGTTTTCACTCCATAAAACCATAGATGATTTTGATAATCAGGAAATCTTGTATGGAGGCCATCAGTCAGGATAGGGACTTGTCAATTAACCCATAGTATTTCCTATTGTCACCTTTATTTTAATTAGAACCTGCTTTGCTGAAAATGACGTTGCTATCCTCACAAATGATGAAGGTTTCCTCTCATCAATATTTTGATTGCGATTGATTATATAAAGGAAATTCTTAAATGGGGAGGGGGGAGTTTTTTCTCCAGAGGTATTCGTAAAAATAGCTCATATAATTTCTTGTCACTTGGATAGGTTTTTCACTTTTTCACCTGGTTGGCATAAGTCGAAAACCAGATTATAGTATGGTGATGTCAGGCGGATAGACCGGAGGGGAAAAGTTGGTCCTTTGTTTGTGCAACGGCAGTTTTCAATCCAAATTCATGAAAATGTTGAATCTGCTATTATTGAATTGGTTAAAGAATTTATTCCATTTTTTTCAGACTTCGAAACTAACTTATTTTTCAGCAAAATTAAAAATAGATTTTACAAGTTTTGTGTAATCAACTTCTAATACAGTGTTCAAACCAGATCCCTGAAACCTCATAGAAAGGTTGATAACACGTTTAAGTTGTGAACCTGCAAAATTTATAAAAGACGGTGCCTGTTTGGTGACTCCTCCTACAGTTTCCAACGCTGATCCCTGAAACTTCACAGGAAGATTGCACATATGTTGAAGCTGTGCACCTGCTATAATACAATTGTTTGAACAATTTTGTCTTATTTTCCAGGCTTGGAACTTAGTCATTTTCAACAAAATTTACAAAAGATGGTACCAATTTTGTGAAGTCAACTCCTATAACAGTTTTCAATCACTGGCCCTGAAACTTCACATAATGATTGCATATATATTGCAGTTGTGCACCTGTTCTTATGGAATTGTTTGAGGAATTTCTTTCCCATTTTCCAAACTTATTATTTTAACTATTTTTGATTTTAATCCATATCTATGGAACTTCTCAAAAAGTTTACAAACCTATTGAGGTTGTGCACCTTCCATAATTGAGTAGTTTGATCCCCCCGTCCCATTTTCCCATTATATATTTATATCTATTTAATGATAGTGATCCTACATTTTATTGAGGGCAGCGGCCGTCAACATTAAGTATAAAAATTAGGAAGTGTGGTATGATAGCCAATGAGACAACTATCCACTGAGGTCAAATGACGTGGATGTAAGCAATTTCAGGTTCAGTTTGTGGTTTAAAAAATTTCAGACATTAATAACTTTGTAAAACTGAAACGAAATTTTACGAAACTTGAACAAAAGCTTATTTAAGGCCAAAAGACAGTATCCTGAGAAAAAGCTGGCAAATAATTGTTTTCTCATTTTTCCGTATTTTACTAATAACTGGACTTAGACTGTATCTAGTTTTTCTTGCAGTTTAAACTTTTATAGCGAAGATTAAGATATTCAGACATCAATAACTTTGTCAAACCCTCATGATTTAAAAATACTTGGACAGAAGCTTTTGTATGATCAAAAAGACAGTATCCATAGCATAATTTGGAAAATGTTTAATTCTTTTTTCCTTTCTTACAGTTAACACTTAGATACAGGCTGAGTTCAATGTTTTATAGATATCAATAACTTAATGAAACCTTCATAGAATGTTATGAGACTTAAGCAGAAGATGTTTATGATTAAGAGACGTTGTTTGAAGCAAAATTTTTTTTCTGTATTTTACAGATAAATGGACTTTTGTGTCTTTTTGTTGGGGGATGTATAAGTACCCTGCCACGTCCACCCTGTGTTTTTGTTAGATGTATTTCTATTTGTATCCATCTGATGAGTTAAGCCTTTTTCAACTGATTTTAACTACTACACCACTATCCCAGGTTAGGGGGAGGGTTGGCGCCTTCAAACTCGTTTAACCCCGCCACATTCTATATGTGCCTGTCCCAAGTCATGAGCCTGTAATTCACTGGTTGTCGTTTGTTGCTGTGTATCATATTTGTTTTTCGTTCATTATTTTGTACATAAATTAGGCCGTTAGTTTTCTCGTTTGAATTGTTTAACATTTGTAATTTCGGGGCTTTTTATAGCTGACTAAGCGGTATGTGTTTTGCTCATTGTTGAAGGCTGTACGGTGACCTATAGTTGTTAATTTCTGTGTCATTTGGTCTCTTGTGGAGAGTTGTCTCATTGGCAATTATACCACATATTTTTATATTTTGTCAAGCCTAGGGTTGAAATTTTCTAGACATCAATTACTTCGACATATCTTTAGGAATCAATTTTTTATACATCAAAAGCTTTGTTAAACCTTCATGGAATGTTATTAAACTTTGACAGAAACTTCTTTTACATCTAGAAATAGCATCTGAAGAATCATACTTTTTTGGAAGTTTACGTTATACTTTTACATCACAGGGTTTCACTGAACCGTTTACAAATTCTTTATCAGATCAAATTTTAATGAAGGTTTTCACGGAAAAAAGGGGCGGCTGGGGGTAGTTGAGTAACATATGTCATAATTTTCTTTTATTGGATAAGTTACTTTTCGAAAAATCATTTATGAAGTAACTCTACCATCGGAATCAAACTTGAATTGAGCTGTGTTTTTAATAAGAAAATTAGACATAGAATTTCTTTGCATTTTATTTGTTTTACGAAGAATGTATTTCCCTAAATGTTTTATCCCACGACTACTTGTATTTCATTATTAATCTTTTATTTTTAACATCTTAATTATTTAAGTAAAAGATTATAACAACTTTTAATTTTAACAATCGTAAATGATAAAATTCAAGAAAAATTACATAAAAGTAAAAAAAAAATGTTATTTTTAATGCAGATTTTGAAATATGATTCCATGAAAACACTGGATAATATTTTGTATATTTTTGGGGTGTTTTGGCACACAGATTTGGATAAAATTAGACAAAAATAGTTTTATGATAGGCATGTTATTTGTATTATTGGACAATTCTATGAATTTCAATTCAGAAGGAAAATAATAGTGGGTATTAGAAGGAAACACAAAATTGAGATATATAATATCAAATGAGGGGGTATAATAAGGTTACGTAAAATTGAGAAGAGATATAATATCAAATGAGTAGGTATAAGTGTACACAAATTGAGAAGAGATATAATATCGAATGAGGGGGTGTTATACGGGAGCACAACATTGAGAGGAGATATAATATCAAGTAAGGAACACAATATTGAGAGAATAAACATTTTGATCAGAGTCATTGTGGTATTTTACATATATTGGAATGATATGACAATATTATATAGGGGAACAGGAAAATGTTGACGTGAATGTGAGGAATCTGTAAATTTTTAGTTAATGATGATATGAATTTGTTTTATTTGAATATATTACCTCATTGACCCAATTGTTTTCAGTTTCTTAACTTTCATTTAAGTTGTAGATGTTATTTTTGTCTATCTAAAACCTACAAGTTATTAATAAAGTATAGGAAATCTGTATCCCACTAACCTTGTGCTCAAGTGAATCTGTTAATGTTGATTAGCGAGAGAAAACGAAGGATCTTTTGTCTGGAAGACAGTTTATGGATGGAATTACCCTTTCCTATTTTTAGAATTAAATGACGTATCATATTTCTCTCCTTTATAATGTTGAAGTCTTCATCTAAAATTTAAATGAGAAACGTAAGCATTATCTCCCATTTTTGAAAGAAGTTTTAATCATTAGATAACATGAAAAATTTATTTAATAATTTTAAAAAATAAGATAAAATCCAAAATGGACCAGATCCTAGTATACCTTAAAATTGTTCTTTCATATCCAGTCACAAGATAAAGATTTAATATTCTTATGATATCAGTAGTTTAATGTTATAACTATCTCCTGGAAAAGTAAGAAAGGATCAAATCATATCTGAAATTAATGTAACATATTTCTATTCATTACATTGAGTCAGACATAGAATTCAGCATAGGTGACTTGCAAAGACTTTTGGTAGTTTATGGCTCTCATAATACTTTTGAGCACACAATGGCCTAAATGAGGAGATATATATTTTAATTTTAATCCATTTCTTTGATAATTGTTTCTGGATAATAAAAAGTGCACATAGTTTAAATATAATTTTTAACAAATCTTTTTGACAGAATTTGCTAGTAAACTGGTTTAGTAAGGTTTCGGAAGAATAACATTAATCATGACAGAGTCCCTTTTTATGTAAAATGGATGAATTCAAAGAGTTTTTATAAACACGCTACGAGAAACTAAAAGTGTGTATTGGTATCTTTCGATGTCAATTTTTCGTAACCTTGATTTTTTTTAGTTGCTGACTAATTTGAATATTCATTTTTGTATTCAATACTGATGTATTTTTGTTTGTTAATTGACATAGAGTGTATATGACTTCGAGTTATGACTGTAAATACGAATCTCCTTTGTTTTGTGTTATGTTATTACCTTGATAAGATCATTAGTTTTCTTTGTTGACTTGTTCTCATTTTGTTACCCGGAGCCGTGTATGTATTGCTGTATTTGGCAAAACTTTTAGGAATTTTGGTCCTCAATGCTCTTCAACTTCGTGCTTCATTTGGCCTTTTAAACTTTTTTTGGAATCGAGCGTCACTGATGAGTCTTTTGTAGACGAAACGCGCGTCTGGCGTAAATACAAAATTTAATCCTGGTATCTATGATGAGTTTATTTACTATACCATCTGGGTGTTGCTCATTAATGAAGCCCGTATGATGAACTGAAGTTGTTAATATCATTGTCCTTTTGGTCTTTCGATGAATAATTAGTTGACTCATTTCATACTTTTTCAATTACCAAATGATAAAAAATTAAACATAAAGTTACTTGCATACACTGATTTAAAAACAATTGGGGAATAGATTTAGGAATTGTAGGACAGTCAAGTCTCCATACCCACATAATAAAAATGGAACAACAAGTAATATCATCGATAATGTCGATTGTCCGTAGACAATAGTTGGTTTGGTAAGGAGTAATCATCTCTCTCAATATTTGGCAGCTGTTATGTTGGCTCAAGGAAATCTAGAAACCTGGTCCTTATCGCAATCATTGATACCCCGGCACATGAATGGAAGAAGATTTAGACTTTCCGATATAGATGATGATTTTCTCTCACTAAATAATTCAAAATTTGGTGACTACGTTGAACACATTCACCCCATCGAACTTGAGATAAAAGATCCAACATATACAGTTAAGTCTGCCTCATATCCTGCCTTACATCTAGAAATTGATAATGAGGGTCGGTTTAAAAACTTTGCGACAAATGAGATGATTTCAGCTTCCCTGTTGTGAACTTTCCATTTCTATGTAGCAACATTCAAGCAGCGCCTGCATACGGAGTATACATCACCCAGTCGATATTCCAGGGCTTGTGTTTCCTATCATGATTTTCTTGAAAGAGTGTTGCTGCTCACGAGAAGGCTATTAAACCAAGCTTGCCAAGTGGTGAAGTTGAAATCATCCCTTCGTAAATTTTACGGACGACATTACGAGTTGGTTGACCGTTATGGAATATCTGTTTCACAGATGACGACGGATGTTTTCCAATTATCGTAACTACAATATCGTCCCCTTCCCCCAAATGTGACATACCGAATAGACATATCACCGGGTTTGTACTATATGAGCAACACGACGGGTGCCACATGTGGAGCAGGATCTGCTTACCATTCCGGAGCACCTTAGATCAGACCCAGTTTGGGTTCGTGTTGCTCAGTCTTTTGTTTTCTATGTTGTTTTGTGTACTGTTGTTTTTCTGTTTGTCTTTTTCTTTTTCTTTTTTACCCATGGAGTTGTCAGTTTATATTCGACTTATGAGTTTGGATATCCCATTGGTATACTTCACCTTTCTTGGAATATATGTCAATAAAAGGCTACCAAATGACAAACATAACTAAAAGACAACAATCCGTGTTCAATAATAGGTTTCTTTACAAGTATGTACTCGTGTTAACTCTCTTTCACTTTGAAATGTTAAATAACCCGCATTTTTGCGAGTGCTTGCATTTCATACATTCCAGTGAACTTGAGATTAAGAAAATTACCGTACCTAGATCCTTGATATTGACACATATTGACAACGGCATACTAGAATCAATGGTAAACGTGATGACTTCAACTTTCCAATTGTTTTCTCAAAAGTAACATACTGTCTGCCTCATCGTATTGCGTTTTCAAATCTTAATTAATATATATTGATTGTGCATGTTTACGTTAAACGAACGTCATTAACAGGGATGTGCTCGAGGCAAATATCTTTCCGAAAGAGTTACGATTAGAACAACTGAAATCGACCTTTATAACTGATTATATTTAACATATTGTATACACTGAACATACGCATTGATATTGTATACAATTTACATACTTGCTCCAACAGAGTTAAGAGGATAAAAGACTAAAAAACACTATATAAGTTAAATGGTCACCATCAATAATTGGTTTGACCGATACGATGTGTGTCTCAACTCACTAGGGACGTTTTTCACGGTCTTAGATTTAGATACCAGAATAGTCGTCCTCTCTGTAAATTTTCCGATTGTGTCCTATTCCAAGATGTGACATTTTGACTGATTTAGGATTTGAAATGTGACTGGTGCATCATTGCAGTTCACGCTAAGTCTGTAGACGTACATGTTGTTGGAGTTCATTTATTCCCTTAATTGTTTTTTTTTTACCTTGATTGTATCTTTTTAATATAACGAATAAATAAGATTTAAACATCGGTAAACTACTGTTACCTGTAACTACTATACATAATTACATGGCCTTTTAGATGCAGTTTTGAGGTTTGGGATCTTTTAGTATTGTGGAAAGACTTTGTATATATTGCAGTTACATTTCAATAGATGTTGTCAATTATCTATAGAAAAAATAAAAAAAACATAATTGTATATTCTTCAATAAAATATAAAATGTATAATAACATTTTCAAGAACAATGAGATCTTGTAAGAATCTAGATTAGAAGAAGAGCTACTTGCACAAATACTAAGTTGATTTGAACGTTTCGTGTCATTAAGGATTTTTTTGTCTGCTTAAGCATATTATTACATATCTTACGTATTATGTACTAAGAATACACTTTGTACCTATTTCAAATCAATGTTACTTGTTGTCATGAATAAACTTATTTCCTATATTTTTGCATTGAATTCCATATCACACATTTCAGAAGATATACTTATTATTATACATAAATAGGGAACTTTACTATAGCTGCCCTTTTTCTAAATGTTGTAAGACTAACTGTCCAAGTCTGAAATGTGACTTTAAAGCAAGTTCTCTTATAGGTGGATGGTTTATAGAATAATAGTTCATCTGAAAATAAAGTCAGATCAATAAAAGGTGCCATAGCAATGGATAATAATGACAATATATTGTTGGAAACAGTGTACAATGGTGTGTGTTCAAAGTTGTTTCTTATTCTAATTTTCCTTTTACAAGTATTTATTAGAATGTACGCCGAGTAGGTTTGGTGAGTTTTTACAACCACTGCGACGATGCCACTGATGGTGAACGTTTCGTTCCAGATGGTATAACCAGCTCAGTATTCAGCTGTTTCGCGTTGACATGAAATATCATTGATATGTTCATTTTCTGAGAATATACTGTTTATAAAATCTTGAATAAATCTTAGTACTTAGGTTTTTCTATCCCTTCGCCCGAGCATTGAATGCGTTAGTCGCATTTGGCACAGCTTTTCGGAATTTTTGGTTTATAATGATCTTCAATATCTCATTTGATTATGCCCTCTAATTGTTATGATTCGAGTGCCACTAATGAGTATTGTATAGGCGAAACGTCTTGCGTACCATATTATAAGTATGGTATCTTTGGTGAGATTTACATTCATTTATACTTTGCCACAATAATTCCTCATTCAGTAAATATTTATAATTGATTGATTGATTAATTTTTTAAGTTATTATTGGTGGAGGAATCCCGAGTGCCCAGAGGGAACCACGGAACTTCGACAGGAAAACTGACAATTCTATTCAATTAAAATTGGAGTCGAATAGTATTTTTTGAAAAAAAATCGCATGAAACGAAAGTTTGATGGTGTGCTCATATATCATTGAGTACATTTATAAAGGGAAAATTTAAAAAATATAAGTTGGAAAGAAACACGCGTAGTCAATCTTAAGTAAAACTTTATTATAAGGTAATGATTATCATACAATTAACCTATACACTTTGGTGGCATAACTGTTTTTCGTTTTTACGAATCGTATTGCGTTTACATACATCTCAAAAGATACATACGCTCGTTCATGTTCACTCTAAACGCACTTCATTGGCAGGGGTGTGATCCCTACGTAAAACTGCTCCAAAAGAGTTATTAGGAAGAATAACTGAAATTGATACTACTTATAATATTTACAGTCACCTCTACGAATTGGCTGACATATGCGATAAGTATGTGTCTCAAGTCAATAGTGACATATGATGTCGAAGTCTTTAATCTTTAGATGCTAGAATAATCGTCTAATCTGTAAATTTATTGATAGTTTCATATTCTCGACTGTGACAACATGGACAAGTTGACTTAGTGTGGATAGGAAATG